GATTCATCCAGTCTATCTTATCTAGATAGATCTGTAGAGATAATAATATGCATCAAAAACCAAGCCATAGCAAGATAGGCGATCAATGAAAACAAAGCGATGGCAACAAAAAATGGAAACCAATTACCCATAGAAGAATAAATTAATTAAAAGAAAACATTTTTAAACAGAAAGAAAAACCTGTAAATAGATCAAGGTCTGATTTTTGATCTCTAGGCGTGTCCTTCAGTCAGGACTGATGGGGCCATGCTCTGGCCCCCGTGTCTCCTTTGTACTCCCTCGGGGGCTCTCTGCTCTGCTCCCACGGTTGCTCTGCTGCACGCTTTTAGTGGTTTGCCTTGGTGTCTCAGTGTCAGTCTGGGCCAGTCCCTACACTGAGTCTCCAGTGTTGTCCCCCTTAGGGCCCGGGGCCATCAGGTGATGGCGTGTCTTATGGTGGGATCAGCCACATTGTCCACTCTATCCATTGGCTGTTCAGAGCGGGGATGTCGTCCTCCTTGGCCTGGTGGGTCAGGATGTGCTCCATTCTCTCTTCCTGCCCCTAAGTGCTCCTATTTGCTCTGATCAGACATGCCCCTCTCCCCTAGCTGCAGCTTCAGTGCCGTCCTCTCAAATAAATTCTTCCGTGGGAGGGGCAGTTGTCCATATAGCTGGTATGGAGGCCGAGCCCTCAGGTCCCTCCACTGGCTCCCCACTCCTTGCTGACGTTTACTTTCTATTGAGCCTTTGGTATAAGGGTATAAGCTCCCTCCCTCCCCCCTCCCCCACCCCCCCTTGATAGATTAAAAATTATTATTTTCATGTGTTACACCAACCAATGTCCCCCCCCCCTCCCGTGTTTTCTGTTCTTCCCCCCTGGAGAGGGGTGTATGGTTATTTGTCATTCATTGCGATCAATCCCTCCTTTCTCCCTTCCTCTCTTCCCCTTCTCCCTACCCTTCTAGTATCACTATTCCCACTCCTATTCCTGGATTCCATGTGTCGTGAGCCCCCATCTCTCTTTTTAAAAAAAATCATTTCATTGGGACCTCGTACAGCTCTTATCACAATCCATACATCCATCCATTGTGTCAAGAACATTTGTAGCCATCATCATTCTCAGGAGCGCCCATCTCTTATCTATACCTGTGTACATGGGGGTGAGGAATCAGAGGAATGTTGTGTGTTTCATCGATACTTTATTGCACCCTGGTTGTCCCTTCCCTGTGGACCTTCTGTGGGGAGATTGTTCCATTGTCTAGAGATGGGCTTTGGGTCTCTTCTCTGCCCCGCCCCCCTTCTCAAAAATATGTTTTTGTTTGTTTGTTATGTGTCTTCTGCTGCCTATTGCCCAGTCCTGATGACTCCTCATGATTGTACCAGCGGTGTGCTTCTTCCATGTGGGCTTGTTGCTTCTCTGCTGAATGGTGGCTGTGTAATTTCAGGCCTTTAAGACTTCTGATGATGTATCTTTTTATAGCCGGCACCATCTGCCTTCTTCACCACATTTGCTTATGCACCAGTTTTGCCTTCAGCATTTGTGTTGGGAGGGTGAGCATCTCAGACTGCCGATTTGTTTAGAACAAAGTGTTCTTGTGTTGAGGGAGGGTATGAGCAGAGCCCCGAAATCCATCTACCTCAGTGTATTGCCATATTAATATATGTACGTAGGTTAATACCTCTATTTTTGCGGATTAATGCATTTACATCTGAACGCACTTATGCTTATATCTCTATCCACTGCATTGCTTCCTAGGTCTTTCCTCTGTTTCATTTTACCTTCCTCCTGCCCCACCATCACTTTCCCCCTATTTCCACCTCTTAGTACTTCCTCTTAGCTAGTTTGCTGTTGCTCTGACACCCCTAGGATCTGTCTTCTCCTTGTTGTTGACTCTCCCTAGTTGTTCCCCTGTCTCTGGTGCTGCCTGCTCACCGCACCCTTCTCCTGCTGCGCTTACCCCCAAGTCCCCCTGGGACCGTTGGTCTTGCTGCTTTCTCCTCGGGCTTGCTTCCCATGCCTGTCTTATGTAAGTAGGCACACCGACTATGACGTAGACCAAACAAAAGATCAGGGGGAAAAAGGAGCAAAGTGAGAGAGAAAATTTATACATAATTCCAGGTCTGTTCACTAACTTCATGACTGTCTCCCCAATGGTTGTGGGGGATCTCTGGGAGCTGTCCCTCCCACCTGAAGTCCATTTTGGGGCTCTTTAGGGACTTCGTCCTTTGCCTCGCCCCACTGTGGGGGGTTCAGACCACACTACCTTCCCACCGTGTGACCCCAAAATTGTCCTCTGACTCAGTCTGCTCCAGTAAGGGGATAACATGACACGAGCTGTTGTTGGCCCCACAGTTCCCCGCTGCGTCCCAGTCGCTCCCCGCAGGGACGTCATTTCCGGGGCCTGGTGTGCCAGCATGGGGGCCAGACTGGCTGTCCCTTTCTCCTCTTTCCTGGAAGGGGTCAGATTGGCCCTGGTTGGGGCCAGCCTTGTAGCCCTCTCTTTTCATGCATTCCTTCATGCAGCCATATTGCCTTCGTGGTCTGGTGCATCGTGGTAGTCTGCATGCCCACTCCTAATTCAGTGGAGACAAAACCAATACTCTTCACCTGGGTGGGTTAGGGCCACTCCCCCCTGCTTAGGTTTAATTAGCATGAAATAATGTAAGAAAAACACACAACATAAATTCCCTATTTTTCTGTCTTGCACAGGACCAAGCTGCAGGACCCACTGGTGTTATTTGAACCCAGGTCTCTGAGAATGGTTTTACAGGCGTGGCTCCTGCAGTTAGAAACAGCATTTGCTGCGGAGGACTTTCCAGACTTCTCGAACCCCAGCCGCTCGGGTGTAACAGCTGACCAGGATGTGCTCCAAACCGATGAGTCAAAAAAGGGACTGTTAGATGATGGCGGTGACAAAGAAAAAAGGGATGCTGTAGACAACGAAGAAATTGTTGATCCAACAGCTTGCGAATCTGCACGTAGTCTGAGGGAGCCCCCAGCTCACCTGTATCGAATAGATTCTCCATGCCTCATAGCAAACGGCCTTCAGAAGGACCTGGCCGAACTCACAACCCTGTGCTTGGAGTTGAGTGTTTTGAGCACTAAGATGGAATGTACAAGAGGACACATGGACCACACTTTGCAACAGAGCTCTCAGGAAACTCTGGCTTGTCGCTTTCTGAAGAAGTACTTTTTCCTCCTGGACTTGAAAAGAGCAAAGGAGAGTATCAAGCTTAGTTACGCCAACAGCCCTTGTGTTTGGGATATGTTTATTGAAGGATTGAAAGGTAATGATCAAGTTGCTTTATCAAGGATAGGAATTGGCAATGGCATCTTGGATTTGGCAGGGGTGGGGTGTTTTAAAAAGAGGAAGTGAAAAATCACCGCTGTTCTAGACAGCCCTTCATTCTGCTTTCCACCCAATTTCGTTTTTCTTTTTGGCATTTAATTTTATACCTTCAATTTTTATGTCACTTAGATACCAATGTTTTAATGATAAAAGTAGAGAAGAGTATAAAATTGGGTGTCCCTTGGTGGTCTCAGCTACAGGTACAGCTAGTATTAAGTAGGTACATAGGTATGACAATATAACAACAAAAGTAGAATTTTCATATTTGTCCAAATGGCATTAAGCCATTTCTCCAGTGTTTGGCAAAATGAGTGTTTGATCTTAGCCACTTGGCACGTTTGCTCTTATGTTATCAGTTTTGCACTTACCATCCACTGCAGGAGGCATTTTTTTAACTAGAGGCTTCTTCAGTTTGTTTCTGTGGATCTCTAAATAGGTTTCCTCTGTACTTGGCTTCTAATATGTATGTGCACTTCAAATTGGTCTACGTGATGACCCGTGCCCCACTCTCCAGAAGACTTGGCAGTGGATTTGGCTAATGTTTTGAAACATGAATTATTCGTTATAAATTAGCACAGGAGTAATCTTGACATGAAATATACTCCCAAATATTTTTTTGTTTGTTTGAAATGTTGACATTAGGTGGATAAAGAAAACCTGAAATGATCATTAGTTCAGTTTTCTGAAAACTGACTTCAGATAACCTCAGCAAGCCTGAGCCCCTTATTTTCACACAGTCTGATCCTCTTTTTGGCTGTACTGTGATTGATAGAACCTTTCATTTGATAATCAAAGGCAACTCTTCCCCACTGTCTATGGTTCTTATTCACTTCAAAACATTGAACCCTTGAAGATCTAGGTCACACCTGTGATTCACCAAAGATGACACCCCAGCCATTTCCATTGTTGGTTTGAAAGATGCAAAAGGAATGTCGGTGTTTCTCTGTACAACTGTGTTGGGACAGTCTGGGCCACACAGACCCCTTATGTTGCATGCATACATGGGAGTCAGTACTAGGTGGGGGTTTTAATCAGTTGGTTTGTTTTTGTATACCAAAAGAAGTCCAGCTTCAGCAGGACAACATTTCTCAAAGAAATATTCTTGGCACAAACAACCAAAGGTACCTAAACTGATTCCAGGAGCTGGTCTGTATTCATTAACGTAGTGGAAGTTATAAGGTGCAACCTCGTAAGTCAATGATATTTTCAACAAATACCAGTCCTTTGTGATTCTTCCGTCTGTTGAGTTCATCTTGCTGTCCTTTGTTTAGCCTTCCTTGCAATGTGTTCAGCAGTGGCAGGGTTCAAAGCTTTATCATCGTCTTTAAGAGATAATAGTGCTTTGCCTTTCTTTACCTGAGATAAAAAATGATGCTTGTCAATAGAGAACTGCTGAAGTAGTAATGGGCCCTTGTAAATTTGCAAAGGCTTCCAGGTAGTTTTCGAGTCTGGCCTTCCCTTCCTTTTTATAAGGTAATATCCCAGGCCTTCCCCGCGCCTCTGCCCCAGCCACACTACGTTGGAACACTTTCATTCAAACTGGTGTGGACAGACTGGATAGCCGAGCTGTGGATGATGCCCCATCCCTCCACTAATCTGTGGGATTCTGGAACCCCCCACCCAATTTAATTGTTAATATTTTTTTTTAAACTGGTTTAATTTGTAACTATATTGTAAGCATTTTTTGTTCCTCTCAGCCATTGTCAGAAGATGATACAGCAGTGTTGTAATGTCTTAGATATAGTAGACGTTTATTTCTTGTTCATGTAGCGATTCAGGACAAGTGTTCCCAACTAACAAGACTCATTTCAGCGTGGTAATTCAGCCTTCAGGCGCCTTCTGTTTCTAAAACATCGTCGTCCCTCTGAGCTTGTTGTTGAGGTTGGGTTCCCATGTCCAGGGGAAAGAGCACGGAAGGGACACTCGTGCTCTGTCGGAGATCTGGCCTCGTAGGAGCTCTCATCCCTTCTATTGACAAGCCGTTGGTGAGAATTCCACCACATGGTCATACCTAACTGCAGAGGAAGCTGGGAAATGTATCCTGTCCAGGAAGAAAATAGATAGGGGTGAAGAGCTTCCACGTGTGTCTTGCCTTAGGGAATGTGGGTAATCAGCATTCTCTACCTCACACTTGATAGGAAACCAGCTCTCGTATTCCAAAGACCAGGCTTGCCCTTTCTACTCCAAAGCCCCATGTTTTTGAGGAGGTGGATTTTGTTAACTCAGTGTCCTGTTGAGGGGCAGATGGCATGTATGGTAAACAATTCAGACTTATAAAATACTTGTTATTTATGACCAAAGCGAATAGATCAGGATACATTTTTATATTATCTGATTTAAAGATTAAGTTTTATAGAAACATGGGTACACAGTCGTATCATTTATGTTTCTATTTGCACAAATGTATTTGCAGTTTTGAAGGCTTTGTGGTGGTATGAGATAAGCATTGGCCTGTTAACCTCAAGGTTGGCGGTTCAAACCCACCAGCTGCTCCTTGAGGGAATGACGAAGCAGTCTATTCCCACAACGATTTACAGTCATGGAAATCCAGTATAGGGTCGATGTGAGTCAGACTCGACTCAGTGGCCTTGGGGTTGTAGTTTTTTTTTCTTTTTGTCTTTACGGTTCTGTTTCAAGTCACATTTGAGTAATTAAAAGCATAGAGAATGCTTTCATTTTCTTTTTTGGCATTAAATAGGTAGACTCTTTGATGTGAAGTAAGAAACACATTCTTTCTCTTCAAATAGGTTCAAATGTTCACCATGAGTATTCATTGTGAATTTGCTATGTCTGTCTCTACTATATGCTCACACCCAACTCTAATCATGGGAGGCAGGTGAGACAAGTTCCCATCAACCAGGTGATCGTGGTAAACGTACATGATGGCCATTTGCAGACGATGTAACTGCTTGTTGGCATGTAGGCGACGGTATGATTTGGTTCCCAGCTGAGCCCCACCCGATGAGAAAGCCTCCCTTCATTTCCAGCTCTCAGCGGCGACTCCTCTTCTGGCTTTTATGGTTATTGCCTGACACAAATGGGCAATGAGAGAGAAGGACGTGCCAGAAATGAAAGGTTAGCATTTAAAAATGCTCTGTAGACCAGCCTGCACATCTGCCAGTGTCTCCATTGTGGACCACAGCTATGGAGGTCTGCCTTTGGTCTCTGTCTTCAGAGCCAAATGAGAACTTCATGAAAAAAATGTTGTTACTTTCAAGAGTTTTTTTTCCTTTTTTACTACAAATAATTTTAACTAGATCATCACTTCACTCACCAGACTTTTAAGTATTTTAAAAACAATTTTTGAATATTACTTCAGAAGGTGAAGATTTGCCATAATTGGTATTTTAAAAAATTGATTATTTAAAAGCCAAGTTTGTTGGCTTGTTCTCTTTTGCCTCTCTTACAGTCTTTAATAGACTTTAGGCCTTGCCCTCCCTTGTTGCCTGACTAGTGATTGTGAATGACTGTGCTCATGAGAATGTCCAGCTAGGAGATGCAGGGAAAGAACGCGCTTTGTCTTTCAGAAATGGCAAGTTCCAACCCCACTTTCAAGGCCATGGCAGAAGGAGACCTACCAACAAGATTAAAGTTCCTGGAAGACTCAGACCTTTTTGATAGTCCTTTGCTCATTGTTTATGCTACCCGGTAAGTTGTCTGGTATGTTGTTTATATGAACTAAAAGCCCATGCACTTTCCCCCCTTCAATCTTAGTCTTCATTCATTTATTTATTTATTTGCTCATTTGTATGATGGGCAGCTTCTTGTTCCCTTGCTAGTGTATTGTTATTCCTAAAAAGTACGTCATATGAACAAGTTCTCTCGTGTCACTGCAACAGGAAACTACAGTGTCTTTGTTTTTGACTGCAGGTTGTATGAGACGTTTGGGGAATCTGCCCTTCGGTCCTTAACCAGGTTTTACCCATCCATTTTGCCTTCGGATATCATGCAACTTTGTCGTAATCATCGCGCTCAATTTTTGGCCTACTTAGACAGCCTGGTGAAATCCAGGCCTGAAGATCAAAGGTGAGAAGACAGCATATTTACAGGCTTGTCTTTCTCTCTCTTAAGAAGCCCTGGTGCTGTCATGGGCTAGCGTTGAGCTGCTTAACCTCACGGTCTGATTCAAACTCACCAGCGGAGGGAGAAAAACAAGGTTGCCTGTCCCCATGAAGATTTACAGCCTGGGAAACCACAGGAGCAGTTCTGCTCTGTTCTATAGGTTCACTGTGAGTCAGAACCGATTTGAAGGCAGTAAGCTGTTTTTTGGGGGTTTGGGGTCCCTTTCTTTGAATAGGACGCTACTTTTATTAGCAGTTGTAACCTTCTATACTGTTAGCTGCTACAGGCTTGAGGCATTCTTCTGCAGTCTCAGCACCTGCTGTAACCATGCAGACCCCACGCTTCCCTTCTCTTCAGGTCCTCTCAGGCATCAGGGTAAAATTAACCTGCTTCACAGCCGTGGCTATCAGATAAAATACGCTATCTGCGAGCCGATTCTGACTCACAGGGACTCTGTAGGACAGGGTTGAACTGCCCCTGTGGGTTTCCTTGCCTGTAAATCTTTATGGGAGTAGAAAGCCTCGTCTTTCTCATGCAGAGCAGCTGCTGTATTTGAACCACTCAATTTTTGGCTAACAGCCCAAAGTGCAACCCACTACGCCACCAAGCTCCTTAGATCTCTGCCAGTGAGTGGAGTTTTACTTCTGTCTTTTTATTCATGACATCCCAGCTTTTTGTCAGTGGACCGCAGGTCCTACTCTTTGCCTGTTTTAGGCTGATGCCTCATTTCTGGGCTCCTTGTGGCTGTGAACACCTGTGCACCTTGGTTATTTAGCCCGGCGACTTCCCACTGTCTCGTTCTTTCTCTAATGCTTCCTGCTTGCTGTGCTGCTTCTCATTCCTCTTCCCTTTTAAAATTTAGCCCTTTGCCATTTTCCTATTATCTTGGGACACAACTATGCATTTACATTGTGCATATTTTCCCCAGTGTGTCTAGACAGTTTTCTAGTTAATTTTTCCACTATATTGACCCTACATACTTTGTTTCCTTGGTCATTTGAGGATGGGTGATGTTTCCTCTCATTTTTCTTTGAGGCCATATTTCCTTGAGTCCCTTCTGCAACCAGAGTCTGTAAGAGTGGATTGGCTGCATTTGGCAGTGTCCCACGAGGCTCCGCCACGCACAAGCACTGTGGATGATGAAGGACATCCCAGGTAGGGAAGAGTTTGGTTTCTAACCCCCCGAAGTCGAGGGGAGTGGAAATGGTTAGTTCACAGCTCTGTTCCGGGCTCACCTTCCAAGAACTGGTGTGGAAGAGAGACCGTCGTCCTGGAGGTCATGAGGTTAAGTTTTCTTCCCAGCTGTTTGTGTCACGGATCTTTTGAGAATCTGATGATTCTTCGCAGAAAAATGCACATGGGTGGAAAATTTAGCTCATAACAGGTTGAGGCTCTTCCTTGACCCACAGTCAGAGCCCCTGCTGAGCAGACTGGGTGTGGAGGGGGAAATAGTGCGTGTTTGCACATGTGAGTTTCCTTCCTAGACATTTTGCCAAGAGATCTGTTAGGACAACCCTTGGATTAGGACTTTTTCTTCTTTTTTAAACAGAGTCCACACAAAAAATGCACATCGATACTTAAGAATATATCAGAAATATTCCTTGTGTTTTCTCCATAAGATGCTTTAAAGCCAGCATGCCGGTCTTAATTAACCAGATTAGGACAGCAAACTTTTGAGATGGGAGAGCCAAAATGTCCCTCTCATCACAATTTAAAAATTAACAAAATCACTGTAATCTGAATAATATCCTTTAGATGTTTTCAGTATATCCCGAAAGAGGCGCAATGGCTCCTGAGCCACATTTTGCTGTCCCCTGGGCCAGGTCAAAGGCCTGGAAGGACAGGCAGTGGCTATCTGTGATTACTTAAAAACCTCTATTTAAAAAAATGAACAGGTGTTTGTTATAGGAAAAATAAACATGTTTTTTAAAACCAAGTCCAAATGTTTTAAAAAATGTAATAATATGACCCATTAAAAAATCCACTGCCATCAAGCCAGTTCTGACTGAAAGTGACCCTAAAGGACACAGGAAAACTACTCCCTAGGGCGGCAGTTCTCAACCTGTGGGTTGTGACCTCTTTGGGGGGTCGAACGACCCTTTCACAGGGGTCTCCTGATTCGTAACAGTAGCAAAATTACAGTTATGAAGTATCAACGAAAATAGTTTTATGATTGGGGGGGTCACCACAACATGAGGAACTCTATTAAAGGGTCACAGCATTAGGAATGTTGAGAACCACTGCCTTAGGGCTTCTTTACATGAGAAGGCAGCCTCATCTATCTCCCACAGAGGAGCTGGTGGATTTGAACTGCCAACCTTATGTTTAGCAGTCCATTGTTTAACTCATCATGCCACCAGGGATCCTCCATAATGAAGTGAATACCATTAAACTATTTGTACCTATTGGCAGACTTAGGATCACATTTTGGTTCACGTACCATTTCATATGCCGGTATTTCTCCTTTAACAGGCCTCATTCACACTTACTTTCGTGGGGCTACTCTCAGCTGATCCTTCATCTAATTAAACTTCCTGCAGATTTTGCAACCAAAGAGAAAATGACTGACATCTGTAGGTCTGCCGGGTAAGTGAGAATTTTCATAGGCGCTGAGGGCAAGTATAGAATCATTTCAGCTATTAACTCTTTAGCCAAGGGCATGAATTAGTAAGTTTTATCATTGTGGAATTCTCATTGCTACACGAAAGTAAAAGTACCTTTTTTTTCAAGTAATAGTAAACCCTTGTTTTCTTTTAAATTTTGTGCATAGTTTTTCTTTGTGTAGCAGAGCTTGGCTCCGGCTCACCCCTGCTTGCTCTCTGGCCCAGTGGCTAACCCCGGTTTCCAGGCATGTAGGTGGTGGTCAGCTAAGCGCCAGATGATATGATCTCCGCCGTTAAAATCGCGGAGAAAGGAATGGGTTGGACACACAGGTGAGTGCCTTGGGGATGAGGAGACCTAGTGGAAGTAAGCCCAGAAGGAGTCAGGAGGGAGAGCAGCCTAGAGGGCATGAGAAACTGATCTTGTTTATTACCTGTATCGTGTGTTAGTCAGCGAGGACTTTGTCTTGTACCTTTTTGTTGTGATTTAAGTGAAGGCTTACAGAGCGGATCATCAGCTTGATGCTCAACAGTTTAGATACACATTTTGTGTCCATGCTTCCGTTTCAGTCCTCCCAGTGTACTGTCACTTCACGTCCACCCAGTGTTTTGTAGGTAGTCAGTCATTTATTACTTGGTGATGTGATTTTATCACTTTACTTGGATTTTAGCCTTTTGGAGATAGGGACCTGTGTCTTCCCTCGCTTTCATAGGGCCTAGTTTGTGCTGGTTAAAAAAACAACAACAGTGCGCTGCCATCAAGTCAGTTCTGACTCATGGCACCCTTTTGGACAGCGTAGAACAGTCCCTGAAGGTTTCCGGAACTCTCTCTGAGTGTAGAAAGCCTCGTCTTTCTCCTGGGGAGCACTTGGTGCTTTCATGCTGAAGCCTGTTGGCTCACAGTCCACCTCGTAACCGTGACACCATGGCGCCCTTTTGTGCGGTGGTAGGTGCCTGAGATGCTTCGTCTTGATTCTGAAGGTGATGAGTTAAAGGATCAAGCAGGACCTTGAGAAACAGAGGAATTCAGCAGTGGAGACCTTTTACCCTTGAGTGGTTTGTGTGCCCAGCTCCTAGCCAAAAGGTTGGCAATTTGAGTCCACTTGGAGGTGACCCTGGTAGCATAGTAGTGACTCATTGAGCTGCTAACCAGAAGGTCAACAGTTCAAAACAACCAGCTGCTCCTTGGGAGACAAACGAGACTTGCTACTTCTCTAGAGTTACAGTCTCTGAAACACAGAGGGGCAGTTCTGTCCTGCCCTATAGAGTCACTATGAGTCAGAACCAACTTGATGACAGTGAGTTTGGTTTTTGGAGACGTAATTCAGGTAAAAACTTAACAGTCTACTTCTGAAAAACAAAGCAAGAAACAGCTATTGAAAACCTATGGGGTCTTGACGAGTCAGCATTGACATAACAAATGGTCTGGTCCAAGACCCTGAGAGGTGAGCACGTGGCATAACCACAGTGGCATTTGATCTGGAGCACATTTCTGGTGTCACACAGAAGGGAGGAAGGAAGGGAGATAGGAAGGCCAGCTGGGCGGCTGTTGCGGTTTTTTAGGCGTGAGAGAGCTGCTGATTCGGATGATGGCAGAAGGAGCAGCCAGAGAAGCGTTTCAGAGAGATGCAGTCGGACTTGTTGATACTGGAAGTTGCAAATGAAACTAGAGAGGATAGTCCAGCAAAACTTCCAAGGTTTGCATAAAATTTACAGAGTACACAGATTTGATATTGAGTCTTAAATTGTTATATAAATGTGATTGATGTTTAGCCACAAATATCTGAATTTGTTCATCACTTGTGTTTTTTCATAAACATTTTTAGATGCTAGCTGTCCACTAGAACCTTCATGATAAGGAGAATATTCTACTGTGCTGTCCAGTATGTTAGCCGGAAGTCACGTGTAGCCTTTAAGTCCCTGAAGTATGGCTAGATAGTTGAACTGAAGAGCTGACTTTAAAATTTAATTTCATTGTAATAAATGTACATTCAAATGGCCTCTGTATTTGGAGAGCACAGCTCTAGAGGAATTCGCCACCTTTAACGCTTTCTTCATCTTGGTCTCTTTCAAGTTTCTGGCCTGGATACCTAACTCTCTGTTTGGAGCTAGAGAAGAGAAGAGAGGCCTTCACTAACATTGTGCACCTGCATGACATGAGTCTGATGGAAGGTAGGTATATCTCAACGGGTTAGTCGCGGGTGTAGTTGTGGAAACCACTTCAGATTTCTCAAGAAAGAAACAAGATGACATTTAAGGATGGTGCATGGAATTTTGGCGCCTTCAACCTGTGGCGTTTGTTACTGTTGACACTGTTGCTGCTGCTAGTTGTGGAGTCGGTTCTGACCCATGGTGCCCCTCGTGTAGAGTGGAACCGCTCCATTTGCTTATAACAAGGTTGTAACACTTGCTGGATTGTGAAAGCAATTAGGAATAACGCTACAGGCAACTTTTCTCCGGAATGAGGCAATATACCAGACACTTTCCATCTGCTGTTTTAAATGAGATGATAAACCCTTGGAATAAACAGGCAGACAGATGATGGAGCCTTGGTGAGGCTGTCAGGTAAGCAATGGGCTGCTAACAACCGCAGGTCAGTGGTTCAAACCCAGCAGTTCCCCCGGGGAGAAAGATAGAGCTATCTGCGCCCATAAGGAAATCTGATAGAGGAGCACTGTGCATTCCTATTTTGCAGTTGTTGTAATTAAGACCCAGAAGGACGGTGAACTTGCCTCTAATCAGACAGGTAGTGAGTGCTGGAGCTGATGTTCAGATCCGGATCTGTCTCCCCGGCCTGTTCTCAGCTTCTTTTCCCTCCATGCTCCTGTTGTCTTTTCCTAGGGAATCAAGTGTAAAGAGATAATGATGATTATTTTAAATGGAGAAATGATGAAGCTCCCTCACCTTCATGGTTACTTAGAACACTTTTTTTCCTCTTTAAATCAGCCCATCACAGATAAAATGGTGGTCGACATAGAGCAGGGACGTGGCTAGCCTTGCTGTCATGCAGAGCACCTTGGAAAGTGGATTGTTGTAGATGTAGTTAAGCTAAAATTTAATACCTTATCCTTTGATCTTCCTTTTCACTCAGTTTAAATTTTTTCAAGTTTTTAATATTTTCACTTCCTTTTTTTTTAACATTTTATTAGGGGCTCATACAACTGTTGTCCCAATCCATACACACATCAATTGTGTAAAGCACATTTGTACATCGTTTCTCAAAACATTTTCTCTCCATTTAAACCCCTGACATTAGGTCCTCATTTTTCCCCACCCTCCCCGCTCCCCCTTCCCTCATGAGCCCTTGATAGTTTATAAGTGGGTATTTTGTCATATCTTGCCCTGTCCGACGTCTCCCTTCACCCACTTTTCGGTTGTCTGTCCCCCAGGGAGGAGGTCACACACAGTTCCATGTAATCGGTTCCCTCTTTCCTACCCATTCTCCCTTTATCCTCCCTGTTTTGCCACTCACACCACTGGTCCTATAGGGCTCATCCGTCCTGGCTTCCCTGTATTTTCAATTCCTATCTGTACCAGTGTACCTCCTCTGGTCTAGCCAGACTTGCAAGATAGAATTCGAGTCATGGTAGTGGGAGCGGGGAGGAAACATTTAGGAACTAGAGGAAAGTTGTATTTCTCATCGTTGTTACATTGCACCCTGACTGGCTCATCTCCTCCCCGAGACCCCTCTGCAAGGGGATCTCCAGTGGCCTACTAATGGGCTTTGGATCTCCACTCTGCACTCCCCCCATCATTCACTATGGTAAGATTTTTTTGTTCTAATGATGCCTTACACCTGATCCCTTCGACACCTCGTGGTTGCATAGGCTGGTGTGCTTCTGCCATGTGGGCTTTGTTGCTTCTGTCTTTTTGATTGAGGTTTCCCTCTGTTTTACTTTGTTATTGTTGTTAGTTGTGTTTTGTATGTTTTTCTGTGTGTGAAATCCAGGATAGGTAAATCTATGAGATAGTAGCTGCATTCATGATTCCTTAGGGGCATGGAAGGAGATGTTTGGAGAAATGGGAAACTAACAACCATGAGTACAAGAAGAAGAAAATGTTTTCAAATTGATTGTGGTATACAACTCTTTAATATGATAGGTGGGTTATAGGTCAATGAAAGAAAAAGATGGCGGTCCGAACACCAGGACTTTGCCACACAGACGTCAAAGAGTGTGGGAGTCTGGCCTGCATTCACATGGGGGCCCTGGATGCTTTTGTGCATCTCAGGACAGCAACACCAACAGCTGGACATCAGCCGTGTGGACACTGCCTTTTTCTTGGCCAGGGAGAGGGAAAGTCTGAGGCAGAACAAGGAAACCACCTGACCTTTAAGGATTGACGTCATATATCACAGCTATAGCAATAGTGCTGAAATCATCTTTGTTTCCTAAAGCGAGGAGAAGAGGGGCACGTGGTTTTGTAGGACTAGAATGACAGCTGATGCGTACATTTCCGAAAAATAGCCGTGAACTTTAAGATAGAGATGACTCACATTTTTAAGCTTACACAATTTAATACGTTCTCTCTGTGTTTGTTTTTTGTTGTCATTGTTTTGTTTTTAAGCAGTACTGGCATGTAATTCACTTACCATACAATTCAGTGGTTTAAATGTATTAAAAAGAGTTAATGTAGTCATCACCACAATCAATTTTAGAACATTGTCTTCAAACCTGCCAGCCACTTTAAAGAGGTGGGACTCTACTTCTGGCCATACTGCAGTTCGGGAAACTTTATAGACTGGGTTTCTCTGTCCTTCAGGGTCACGGTGGTCAGAACCGACTCCATGGACACAGTAGTCGCAACAAAGAGTGTCCAAGCTAATGATGTGGCTTCCCATTACCGTGAACTATTCATTCAGTGTGGTCAGAAGTCACCTTGGTGTTAGAGTCTGCTCTGGAATAGGTTTCTGAGTTATATTCAACAGACTCACAAATAGCTTTGACCGTCTCCTGTATTCCAGCAGTTTACTAAGTAAGAACAGTCAGAGCCAACACTATGTCTGTTTGTGTGTGTAGGTTGGATTCCAGAGACTTTGGGAGAATGGAAGTTTCTCTTACAGCTTGTACAGAACAAGAGTACAAGGCCAGCCTCTCAGGAGTCATCAAATGGGCACCTTGGAGATGGGCCTTCCCCCATCAACGTGGAGAATGTGACCCTCCTGTTGGCTAAGACAATGGGCCCCGATCGGGCCTGGTCTCTGCTACAGGATTGTGGTTTGACCCTTGAATTATCAGAGAGGTTTACAAGAACCTGTGATATCCTGAGGATTGCCGAGAAAAGGCAGAGGTAATGCCTGTCAGTGATGCCCTCTCCTTAGGTGTTTGGAGACCCTAAAACCTCACAGACTGCCAAGAGTGGATGGGACTGTGGAGAGAGTCCGTTTCCCATCCCTCGCTGACAGATAAGGGGACTGAGACCCATCTGTTAAGGGAAAAGATTGTATTTCATTACAACCATGGCCAAAATACATGCATTTGGGGTTGTTGGGACCGAATACCTAGTTGTCTCAGTCAATTTTGAATCCTGGAATTCTCTGAGCTTTATTTAAGTTTTCTATGAAAAATGAACAATGACCACTGATTTTGTGTTCTGCTTGGTTTGGCATTTCAGAGCCTTGATACAAAGCATGCTGGAAAAATGTGACCGGTTTCTCTGGTCCCACCAGGCATAGTGGAAGATTGAGCACCGCATCGTGATGTTTTGAAAAAATGGAATGAGCTCTCCGAATGCATTTGTTATTTAAGAGATGCACTCTTGAAAACACTCCTCCTTTATGTGGGGGATTCTGTCGTTGTCTGCAACTCTGGCGTCTATGGCTCTACCGTGGAGCCCAGGGTCTCGCAACCTAAATCAGATTTTCACAGGATTCAGTCCTGGTTTCCTGAAATGAAGTGCTCTGGGAGCAGACTGTGGATGTTCCCCAGTGTGTACTCCTTCGGAGCCTCTGGTCTGGGGATTTATTTTTCTACTCTGGCTTCTAGGTAGGGAGCAGAAATTTCTAGTCCTGGTCATGTGAAAACAGTTTTTGTTGTTAACCAGGATGGAATTCTTTTTTATATCTTGCCTGGCACTGTCTTAAGAATTACTGGACTAGAACAGCCCAGTTTTATTGAATTAGCACATAAATACTGAAGATTTAAATCAAGAAGTTTAAAATAATGTAGCATCATACTTACATTTTTCTCATTTTAAAATATAATTGTCCCCATATGGATTTGACATTTTTCTGACCTGAACCCATATATCAAAACCAAATTCAAGTGCTATCAAGTCGATTCAGATTCAGCGACCCAATAGAGTAGAGTAGAACTGTCCCTCTGAGTTTCTGAGGCTGTCAATCTTCATGAGCAGCAGAAAGCCTCCCCTTTCTCCCTCAGAGCAGCTGGTGGATTCAAACTGCTGACCTTACAGTTAGCATCCCAGTATGAAATCCACTATGCTACCAGGGCTCTTAAAGCTATGAACAACTGACTAATTTATTACTGGGAATGTTTTGCCTCTAATCTCCCTGAAGTTTACTATGCACTTTTAAGATTTTTTTTTAAGCCATAATAAAAGCTGAGTACTAATAAAGACTTCAGCAAGTGCTTCTATTATTTAAACTCTGGAACTTGGTAAATGTAAAGTATAATTAAAGTTTTCATTTGAATAGAATTTAGACTTGAGAAAATTTATTTTGAGCAACTTGAAGGAAGACATGGGGTTGACTCAGAGTGGAGTAAGCAAAGTCCTAGGTACAGAAGTATACAGAGACCTAGAGACCAGAAACGCCACCATACGCACACACGATCCCTGAAGATGATGTGAAGAGCACTGGGGAAAGGAGATGTCACAAAACACGGTATGAAAGGACCGCACCGCGTTGTTGCTCCACTTGACGTGTTCACGGAAGCTTAGGTAGGTTCTGCCTTTCAGCTGTTGTGCATGATGCTATCGTGTCTGTCTCTGTGCCTCTCCTGGTTCTTTGGGGTGGATACCTAGCAGTGGGAGGGATGGATAGTATGGCTAGTGGATATTCCGCTTTTTGAAGAAGGGTCAAATGGCTTTTCCACAGTGGCTGTGCCATTTTACATTCCTGCCAGCGATGGAAGGGAGCGCTGGTGACGCAGGGACTAAGCACTCTGCTGCAAACCAAGAAGTCAATGGTTTGAACCCACCAGTCACTCCATGGAAGAGACGCAGCAATGGGGATCTGTAAAGACGCAGCCTTGGAAACCCTCCAGTGCAGTTTGACTCTGTCTAGAATTGACTGACTTATCGGGCAATGGGTTTAGTTTGGGTACCATCAAAGTATGAGGGTTGCAATTTCTCCACACTGCGCCTCACACGTGCTGTTTTCCAGGTTTTAAATAACCATCCTTCCTGTTAGGAGCTCTGGCGTCAGCTTTAATTCATGATGACTCAGAAGGGAACACTGCCTGGTCCAGCACCACCCTCATAACTGGTATTATGACTGTGTGTGAAGGTGCCTCGTTGTGGTTTTGATGAACATTTCCCTAGCGACTCATGTCCTAGAGCAGAAACGGCACTCTGGAAAGGCATAAGTATGAGATCGATTGGAAGTCCAGAGACAAGTTGGACTGGGCAAACGTCCGAGTTCACAGAGTAAAGACGGTCACTCCGGTGGACGGTGGAACAGACCTCCTTGTTCAAGCACGAGCTAAACGTTCACAGAATCAGAGCTGACAATCAGGGGAGGCTTAGGCAGATAAAGTGGAGATTCAGTAGGAGCCAGCACATCGTGTAAGTGGGATCACATGATTGGTTAAGGGCTGCACTCTTCAGTTTATTACAAGATGACCACAGGACAAATTGGGCCAGATAAATCTTGTAACGGGCTATTAAAATGGACTTCTCAGTCATTTCTGTTTCTGGGCTCCATTGTAATGATTTATCAAAAATTCTGTGCATCAAGACCCTGCAGGCACAAGTGATCCCATCTCGCATCTGCTTGAGTGTAGCGGAAAGACCAGCAATGGGTTGTGTTATCCTGTACTGGCCAGACCTCCGAGAAAGAAGATGTCTCCGTTGGGGTATAGGGTTTGGTCCACATCGAGGCTGGAGGGACCACTGTTAGAAAAGGCAACTTTAAAGTTCATCTTGGCAAAGGGGCCTGAGTGTGGCTGCAGAAGGAGTTAATGTATGTCACCAGGGGAAACTTCGCTTCAGGTGGCCACACTTAGTCACGTTTACTTATTTGACATCTTCCTTCGGGGAAGGTGTGCTTTCAGCACTGGTTGCAGATGGTGTTAGAAGCAGAGGGCTGTGAAGGTTATCGTGATGGTCATTGGCTTTCGGACCATCTCACCAGTACAGGGTTTGGTGAATAATGTCTTTGATGCCCAGGTAGCACTTGTCCTTCAGGTTTCTTTGGAAACGGGGCATGTTTCCAAATTGCATCAGGACGTTATAGGAGAGTTTCATCAGACACCTTAAAGTAGCACCTTAAACATGTCTCTTTTCTAGAAGAGAAGCAAAAACTGACTTGGGAAAATCCAGAAGTGTATTTTACATGACCTTCCCCTATTCTGCTGAAAATTTTGGCCCTGGCAGCTACCTACCTGCTACCACTTCGCTTGGTACTCCTAGATGAAATGATGTCTGGCTAACCACCTTGGTGGATGGGTACATACACGGCTCTTAAGAAAGGTCTGCAGACAGGTTTGGAGGCACGGAGCCCACATGTATGGAGCTGCCAGAGCAACTGCTTCAACTCCAGAAGCAGCCCAGGGAGAGAGCTGCGAAAGAGCATAGTGTGAGTGCACAGAGACTTCTAGTGAGGACAGTGCTACAAGCAGAGAAACCAGGGACAAACGCAGTAGACAATGAGGAAAAAGCAAGCAGTTTCTTGCTTTGCAAAAATCTGAGGGTGGACAAAGCTCCTGAATCTCATGAGGATTTGGATGTATGGAAACAAGAATCTAAGAATAAACAAACTGAAACAAGGCTGCAGCCTTTAACTCCCCTAAGGGAAGCAGCAGCCCGGTGGCCTCCAGCCACAAGTCCCTTGCCCTGAATCCAAAAGGTAGAAGGACCAGAAAATACCTAAAAAAAACCCACCAATATGTCTAAGCATGAGTTTCAGACAAGTCTGTTTAAAAGAGGAGAGAACTGTAATTGATGGTAGGAGACAAAGATTTTTTTAAAAAATTTATGTATTATTAAATAATCATTTTATTAGGGGCTCATAGAACTCATCACAATCTGTACATATGTCATCTGTGTCCAGCACTTTAGTACATATGTTGACTTCATCATTCTTAGGACACCCACTTTCCACTTGAGCCCCT